TAAATGATGTAATTCACAGGGGACCAACTTCAATTTACCCATGAGTAAACTGGGTTTTACTGTGGGTTTTCTAGACTGTATGACTTTAAGTGTTAAAACTGGAAGAATCATAGGCAAACCAGAATACTCTGCCATAATGGATAAAGGGATCAACGTGGGCAAAGTAATAAAGATTTTATTCATTCATTCTCTCTCTCTCCCTTTCTCTCTTACTGAAAGGACAGGAGAGGTGAGGATAGTGAAGGAGATACCCACTCACTCAACATCTTTGGTATTCCTGTAGCATTTCCATGGTACCTATAATTCTCCACAATCCACTGGCAGGATGAAAGCATTCCTAAAAATTTAAGTGTTGCTATTTGAAGAGTTCTATGATCAAAATAAGTTAGAGTATACTAAGCATGATGGATTAATTGAATGATAATTGCATTATATTTGTATTTTATTTTGTTTTTGTCAGATACTCAAAATTGTTAAATATATTACTAGGTACCATGAAGCTCCTAAGTGAGGTTATAGCCTGATTTGACCATAGAAGTTTTCTCTCTCTCTGAATATTTAATGAGGATAGTAGTGGTAAATTGGCTTTAGATGTTCGCTTCTCAAAGTAAGGTTTGCAGTGCAAGAGCATTTAGGTCATGGCCACCTTTAAAAATTCAGAATCATAGGTATAACTGAAGTTACACTTAATTATTAAACTTTCATTTGTATTTGTCTGGAGAAGGAGTCAGAATTTTTTTTTTTCTACAAAGGGCCAGAAGTCATACAGTTTCTGTCATGACTACTTAACTCTGCCATTTTAGTGTGCCAGCCATAGTCAACATGTAAATGAGTGCAGTTTGCCTATGTTCTAACAAAACTTTATTATTAAAAAAAAGTGTCAGAACAAATTTGACCCTAGTTTGCCAACTCCTAATTTAGATCACATAGTATATGTAGGAGAAAAATAAGGGCGATAAGTGAGAAATCTGTGAGTGACCTATTAAAGTAGTCATATCAAATAACTTTTAAAGGAGTGTAGCTAATATCTCAGTGTAATGTTGCAGCAGTTAGGATGGAGAGATGTTAGAAATTCGGTACAGCTGGAAGATGATTGTAGATATTTTGAGTACATGTTTCATGGGAATAAATTAGAGGGATAGTGGTAAAAGTCTGAAGATGACAATGAAGAAGAACTCCTATAGGTCAAGGGACCTGATCAGATGTAGGGTTATTGAATTCAGGGAGTCATAGTTCTTTTCTTTTTTTTTTCACTTTTTTTTTTTTTTCCTGTTCATGAAGAACAGGAGCACAATGTCAAGAATTGGATTATCACAAGATGGTACGGGTTCTGGAGGGGAAAATATGTTCTATGAAGGGTATGATTTGCTGATCTCTAAGCAATGATGCATGGGAGGTGATCCAAAAGTTACATCAAAGAACATATGTCAAGTAGGGTTGAAAAATTATCCATATAAAGCCTCCCTGGGGTTAAGAGCAACTTATGTAGGGGGTTAAGACTCAACCTATGAAGCTGTCCGCAGCCACTGAAGCATGAATTCAATCCCCGGCCAGGGAGAAACCCACATGCACAGCAGACCTCTCCTGACTCACCCACTGCTCCCCTCAGCAGTGTATTTCAGTAGATCTATCTGTTCTGCTCCCCACTCTGTCTCTGGTGAATCCTCTCACCCACTGCAGCTCTGGCCTGTTCCCCCAGCTTCCATGCATGAATAAATAAATCTTTAAAAAAAAAAAAAAAAGAAAAATTATCCATGTGAAAAGAAAATGCCCACTGAACCAGACAAGATCTACAAAAAATTTTGGTGGTGGAGAGTAAAAGAGCTTGAGGAACATTAAGAAAGACTTACATTATTAGGAGAAAGGTATGACAGAGAAGGCATAAAAGTCGAAGAACCTCAGGATAGCATGAGCCAATGGAAAAACACAACTCAAGAAAAAAGAGGAAAATAATATAGCCAATAATTTTGAGGTACTGTGGTTCTTACATATATTAAATATAATAAAAAACAAGTGCTGTCATGGTTTTCTTACATATCACCAAAGGCATAAATATTCTAGCACTATATCCCACGGCATAGCCTTTTATTTTTGGAAAAACCAAAGCTATCACTCTCATTTGTTCACAATGCTGTAAGTAAACATTTTAAAAACAAGCCCTTGCAACTAACTTTCCTTCTGTTTCTTCGCATCTTAACACTGTTCAGAGGGAAAAAGAAAAATATTGGATGGTTTCACTTACAGGAGGAATATAGGGGAACCAAATAAGACATGGGGGGAATTAATAAGAATACAAAACAAAAGAAAAACAAACACAATTATAAACCAGAGAGATCCTGGGTGGGGGGAGGGAGATAGTTCGGGGGAGGGGGCACAGGGGACTAAGGGGACTGAGGTGATGGTGCACGGGTGCATTGGTGAAGGAAACTATGGGGACTACACCTGAGGAGAGGTGGAAGCAAGCACTGTGAAAAATGAACAATGATGTAAAATATATATAAAAATTTAAAAAAATAAAAAATGAGACTATTCAAAGAGGGAAAGTGGAGCTAGAAGTAGATAAGGGCAGTGAGTTCTAAACATTGTTGCATAAACCTCTGTAAGCCCTTTCCAATCTCTAGGACTAACAGGCTTGTATTCTGCAATAAGTTCTTGGAATTAATATCAGTTAAAATAAAGATTATCTTTGTTGTATTTTCATTTTGAGTTAATGTTGAAAATGTGTATTTTAGTCAGCTCAGCTAGCAGACATCAATTTATAAATGGCATTGTCATTTTTCTTCATTAAATACTTTCTTAAAATTTCTGCACAGCAAAAAAAAAATAACATGAAATGAAAAAAGACATCCTATGGAACGGAAGGAAATATGTGCACATCATATATTTGACAAGGGGCTCATAAACAAGATCTACAGGGAACTCATAAAGCTAAAAATAAAAAGAAATTAAAAATGGGCAGAAGAGCTATATAGACACTTCTCCAAGGAACACAGATGGCCAATAGATAGACACACGAAAAAAGTTCATCATTTATCATCAGGGAAATGCAAATCAAAACTACAATGAGATACCACCTCATCTCATACATGTGAAAATGACCAGTGTCAAAAAGACAAAAAACAAGTATAGACACGGTGTGGAGAAAAAGGAATCTTTGTGCAATTTTGGTGGAAATGTAGACTGATCTAGCCCCTATGGAAAAGAGTATGGCGATTTCTCAAACTTGAAAATAGACTTATCATATAATCAAGCCATTCCACTCATTGGTGTCTACCGGAACAATGCAAAAACATTAATTTGAAGTAATATATGCACTCCTGTGTTCACTGCAGCACTGCTTTTTCCAATTTATGGAAAAAACATAAATGCACAAGACCTGCTGAATGGATTAAGATGCGGTGTGTATACATAATGGAATAAAACTAAGTTATTAAAAAGAAAATGAACTCTTGGCATTTGCAGCAACATGAATGGAATTGGAAAGAATTATACTAAGTGGAATAAGCCAGAAGGAGAAAGACATATAATGAATAGCTTCACTCATATGTGGAATCTAGAGAAACAAAAGTCAGACAAAACCAAACCAAAACAAATCCTGTTAATATGATTGTAAATTTGAAGGGAATGGGAGAGAGAGAGCAAAGAGTAGAGGGGGCTCTGCATGGTAGAAGATGGTGGTGCCTTGAAGATGGGTGCTGTAGAGTAAACATGCATCTGCAGAGGTGTGAGCTTCTAACTCTGAATCAAACACAGTGCTGCAAGCCAATACTACCTCATTATAAAATAAAATCTTGAATTAAAAGCAAATACTTTCTACCTTTTTCTTATCAACATAGTGGATTATACATTACAAATAGTAAGCTATGGCTAATCAGTACTGTCAGTGTGAGTAGAGCATAAGCTTTCTTGCCTTAGATTTTCCAACCACTTATCATAAATATCTGAATTTATCTCTCCTTTAGTTTTCACATGCAAATAAGGCATCATTCTCTACTTGACAGCTGTACCCTAGTTTTACATAAAAACAGTAAAATGAAGAATAGTAATAAAAACTCACATAAATTGAGTTTATTAGGTGGCAGAAACTCTTAAAAGAGCTCTATATGTATTCATACATTTAAATCTTATTAATTTTTCAGACAGCAATTATTATCTGTAAAATGTCTTCAAAATGGGCCTCCCTGGTAGTGCAAGGGGTTAAGACACAACTTATGAAGCTATCTGCAGCCACTGCAGCTGTAGCTGGATCCCCGGCCAGGGACCTACCCACATGGTGCAGCAGACCTCTCCTGACTCACCAGCTGCTCCCCTCAGCAGTGTATTTCAGTCAGTCTGCCTGTGCTGTTCCCCACTCTGTCTCTGGTGAATCCTCTCACTCCCCACACCTCTGGCTTGTACCCCAGTTCTTGTATGTATAAATAAATGAATCTTTAAAAAAAAATGTCTTCAAAATTATCAAGTCCCTGATGGCCTTAATTTTTCTCTTCCATGTTAGATTGACACTGTTCAGTAGACTCAATGCCAGCACTCTGCAATCAGAGGCATGGAATGGCATTTGCTCACCAGGTTCTAGACAGCAATCCAAATAATTTGCTGCACCTATGTTGAATGATTCAAGTCCACAGAACATATATAATTAGCCAGATAAGCTTAAGTGCACTTACCCAGTTTTACTAGATTCAGGGTCAACAGTTAGCACCTTTTAGGAATATGAAAAGATACCCAGAAATATCCATATGAATGAGAACAAATATACAGGATGTAGTTTTACTTTTACCTGTATACAGTTAACTGTGTTATTGACTGGCAATGAACTTTAGAAACCTCTACAGTGGATAGAGCTGAGACTAACAAATAATGCTTAATGCTTCTTGTAGATAGAATGCCTATTAACTAGGCACCCATCACTACTTAAACAACATTTTGAAGATGCATACTGTTTGCATTTTACAATTCCAAGCCCCACCCAGACCTTCTTTGTGTGCTTTCTTCATACTAACATCAGATAGTGAGTTTGATTGCTTCTGTTTCTTGGTCAGATATGCATACATCATAGACACTTGCTTCCTTTGCTTCTTTATGCTCACGTATCAAAACCTATAGTTGACAGAAACAGACTTTTAAAAAACATCATTGATCCCAAAATAAAATGCAGGTGATTTCTGCCCCTACGTGAACCCTTACATCTGTGATCTATCATTTCCTAGGTACCAGTTACTGACTAAAGAAATAGAAATAATATTTAAATGATGTTTTTCAGACTCAATTAATTCATAAGCAAGTAAAAAGAAGCAAGTAAAAACTATGGTTAAAAGATCAGTTGCGATTTATATAGAACTTTGCTTTTCACAGTATTAAAGATACAAAAACAAAAATAAACGGCCTATGTATAATAAATGCAATTGTAGTCCTTCTAGATTCTAAACTGCCAGAGAATTTCAAATCACTCTAAATTACGATAGTATGTGATATATAGAATTTCTAATATTTTTTAAAGATTTTTTTTTGTAAGAAACCAACATTAAAATGCAGGGTGTTACATTAGGGGGTATTTGCATATATTAATCACTTAATGCTCAAATAAACCTTAAAAGGTTGGCATTTATAATCCCCATTTTACAAATGAGGACAGTGAGTTTCAAAGAAGTGAAGTAACGTGCTCAAAATCATAAAGTTGGTAAAGAATGCGAACCTAAATCTGGCTTCCTTTTTTCCATTTTGCCATTCTTCCCTTAAGGAACAACTCTCTATCTGCTGTACTTGAGCATGTAAAGAAAGGAAAGAGGACAGAGGAAAAGGAGTGAAACAGAAATTCAGATAAAAGACCAAAAAAGGGGGTATTATGTCCTTGAACTAACAATATATTCATTTTCCATTTTCTGCACTATTTAAATACAAACTAATCTCACTGGTTTCTTGGGCAAAATTTAGTTTGGATGATTACAAAAATGTTTCTGTGGGGACTGAGTGGGACAGCTGCTTTAATTTTAAACTGTTTTTTACCATATCTACTTGGTAGCAGTTATTAGAGAAAAGTTAAGTATACAGCAGTCACTGACTTCAAATTAAGTGGTAATGAATGCAGATTTCCATGAAGATTCCACGAGTTAGTAATTACAGTTTTATTGCAATTCGAAATGGTGAAATAAACTCAGTCTCTACTGTCCCATACATGTAATTGATGAGTTAATTTGTCTTCAGCTCTCTCGCTGTTCTAATATTTCTCCATCGATGCCATGAAAATTAATAGGATGCAAAATGTATAAAATTATACCCACTAAAAAATCCATTGTACAGTACCAGGGAGGCATATTTATTTCATCTGTGGATGGTGCAGGGTCACCATCTTTTTTCCCCCTTCCCAGTGACATTTTCAGATTTGACATTCTGTGACATTTTCAGTTTAATATTGCTAATACCCTGGCTGCAGAATTAAAAGTACACCCCGAGGAAGAGTTGAATGCAGACACATCAGGAGAGTACAACTGTTTCTTCACCCATCCTCCAAGTCAACAAATGTTTATATGTAAACAATATACACATTATGAAGTAGGGAAAATCTCTCTTTATGTTGTTTTCTGTGCAGAGTGAGAGAGAGTAAGTGGTCAGTTACAGGTTCCCAGGAGTTGATTCTTCATTGGAAACTTTTTATTTATTTATTTATTTTTTACTTTGGTAGCATTGGTTTATAACACTATATGATTCAGAAGTATAGGATTATACCCTTCAGGTGTATGTTACCACACCCTACCGACCATCAAGACACCCCACACAGTCCACTTGGACTCCTCCCCACACAACATAAGGGTCTACCTGTATGTTACTATGTGATAAATGGGACTATGTTATAAATGTTTAAAGCACAGAATGGGAGAAAGGTGCTCAGTATGTAGCAGGTGAGGCATCTTCACCTACAGACAGCTGGAGAAATAGCTCTGCATTTATGATTAGCAGATACAGGAGTCCCTACACAATATATCCCTAACTGATGAGTAAGCCACAATGTTAATTGAATGTTGATGCTCACTGACATTTATATAGGGTTCTGTTTGATAAATTAAAGGTTAGATTTATTTTTTCAAGTATAGTTGATAAGCTCCATCTGACTGTCCCTTGGCAATACATGTGGACTAATATTGCATTCCAAGATGCTGCTAATTTTCTCCTTAGCTCAAGCACAGATTCTTTCCTTCATCCCTAAATAGTGCAGTTTTCACTGGAAAGGGAAATATTCTCATAAGATTCAAACATTAATGTAGAATAAAAAATTGGCAATATCTGATTTATGGTATATATATTTTAAGACCAAATAATATATTGATATACAATAGATCATTCTTCCTTTTCCCACTGTCACTAGACCCTGATCTATCTTAAGAACTGAGCCCCTTCCCCAAGCTCCAAATAAGACATTTATATGACAGCTTATCAGACTTGAGGTGGAGACAAAGAACCTAGGGTGAATCCAGAGGACAACTATATCTACTAGATGAAGTCATTAGACAATTTTTGGCTCTTTTGTTTTGTTTCTAGTTTATAGCCTATAAGCTATATATATACTAAACTATACACTAAAGTGTAAAAAATGATGATTTGATATATGAATATAATGTGAAATGATTACCACAATCAAATAATTAGCACATTCATATTTGTGTTATCATTATGCATGTGTGTACATGCATAGAACATGTAAGATATACTCTAAGCAAATTTCAAATGTACAATATTCTGAACTACAGTCACCAGGTTATACATTATATCCTCAGAATTTAACTATTTCATAACTGAAAGTCACACCCTTTGATCAACTTTAGAAATAAGAGCTTGTACCCAATTCAACTAAACCTATTTCGAGGAATCTCGGGCTGAGTGTTCATAAGTGTCCTTTGTGCAGACAAAAAAGTCCTTTCAGGCAAAGTCAGCATATCCCAATGTCAGGCATGAAAATGTTATTTTCCTTCACTGAAAAGTTTTTGCTTATTGTTTTCAATGGTTAAGCTATGTGCTTTCCAGAGAAAAGGTTTGAAAAGCTACTATTTTCTTACGTGATTATACCAAGCAACCAAATGTAAATGAGAGCTGGATTTTTTTCCCTCCAGCATTAGTCTTCTGCTTTCTGTTTTATGTGTGGTTTATATAATCTAGCAGCATATATTTTTCCATCTATTTTTATTATTTGGCAATTGTTTTTTGCTTTATACCTACTTAAGATGTATCCAATGTTAAGTTTCAGAGAAAAATAAACCTGCACCTCCATGGACAGTTAATCTAAACAAAGCAGCCAAGAATATACATTGAATAAGGGAGAGATTTTTTCACAGATCATGTTGGGACATTGGACAAACACAAGCAAAAAATTGAAGATAGATCATCATCTCACACTCTACACAAAATAACTCAAAAAGGTAAAAGTCATAGATGTAAAACCCAAAACCATAGAGTACATAGAAGAAAACATAAGCAAAATACTCCATGATATGACTTCACTGGTATCTGTAGATTTGCCCCCAGTAGCAAAGGAAACAAAAATAAATATAAACAAATGAGACTACTTCCAAATAAAACATTTCTGCACAGTGAAAGAAACTATCAGTAAAACAAAAAGACACCGAACTGAATGGGAGAAAGTTTGTTCATCATATATCTGACAAAGGGCTTATCTCCAAGATATATTAGGAGCTAAAAGGCACATCTTTAAAGAAGACATACAGATGGCCAATAAGCACATGGGAAAATGTCCATCATCACTCATCTTCAGGTAAATGCAAATCAAAGCCATAATGAGACACCTGTGAGAATGGCCCACATCAAACAAACAAAAACAAAGAAACAGAAATCATAAGTGTTAGGGAGGATGTGGAGAAAAAGGAACCCTCAGACACTGCCCCTGTGAATGGACACTGGCCCAGCCCCTATGGAAAACAGTATGAAGGTTTCTCAAAATATTAAAAATAGTCTACTTTATAATCCAGCAATTTCACTCTTAGGTATCTACCCAAAGAACACTAATTCAAAGGGGAATACACATTGCTATGTTCATTGCAGCACTATACAACAGCCAAGTTACAGGAACAATTGAAGTGTCCTAGGAGAGAGGAGCAATTTTAAAATTTCATCTATTCAATGGAATATTCAGCTATTTAAAACAAGATGAATCATTGCCATTTGTGACAACATGGATGGAACAAGAGTAGATAATGTGAAGCAAAATAAGCCAGAAGGAAAAAGACAAATACTGGATAGTATCACTTATACATGGAATACAGAGAAACAAAACAAAGGGTAAGACAAAAACTAACCAATAACTAACTATAAAAATCTGACAATGGAATTGAGGCTACAAGACAGAGAATGGGAGTGGAGAAAACAAAGTTGGGAGGGGGCAAAATGAGCTATGGGGGGTAACTAGGGGTCCCTTGGTGGGTGTGGTGACATGCATCTGAGGAGGTGTGACCTATGCCTTTGAACAGTGTTGCAAACTAATGTTACCTCAGTAAAATATGTATGTATATATATACACACACAAATATATATAAACATGTATCATTATATTATGCTCCTGAGTGTATGAAGCAAATGCATACTTCTTTAAACAAAGGCACAATAAAATCATTGATGTAATAGATATTGTAATTTATTGGAAAGAATACTGCATCAAATTAGTAAATTGGTAATATTTTAATAACTTGTTTTAAATTTAATAACCTATTTTTTTAAAAAAAGTGTTCTTGTCATTTACAATGCTGAGGAAAAGCTACAGATAAGAGAAAAACATTTGTTGAAATGGATTAGGTAGGCATGGCACCTACATAGTTATGTATATAGAGACAAATGAAGGGAACGTTTATTAAGAAATTTGTATATAGAAAATACCTTATTTGGTCCTCTAACATAGGTTACATGCAGAAATGACATGTTTGTTTTTCTTAGGCAGGCTGATACACTGAAAACAGTGACATATTTGCTGAAGACAAATATGTTGAGTTTTATTAGCCTAAGAGAAGTGTATCTGTAGCTATTAATAATATGTATGTGAACACACAGGGTTAAGTATTTTATAAGCAAACTGCATATGTATTATAATGCCACTAATT